CCATAGCCACTGGGCCAAGCACAAATGTGACTCAAAGGCTCATGGGCACATCGCAAGTTCCAGGACAGACGCCTTGATGGACAAGGCCCGAGGGTGCTGAAGGCAGCCCCGCCCCTGCTCTGGAAGCTGCCGGCTGCGCAGGAGGGACTTGGGCGGGGGGCCCCCATGCCAGGCCTGCGGACAGAGGCCACGCTGTGGGCAGGGCTCTGGCAATGGCCCATCCCGAGACCTTGGCGAGATGGGCCAAGCTCAGCAGGAACCCAGGGAGGACAACACGCCCGCCGGCCTGAAGGGCTCCCGTGATGTAAGAAGATGCCTCCCTCTCGGTTCCTGTTGAAACTCAAAACAAAAGCAGCTGTCCCGCCCCTTGCTGAGGTCTGAAGAATTTCCTGCCTTGACTCTTCACGGGGACACACAAAGGAGGCGCACAGGCCCAGGGCCGGCCACTGTGGGTCAGCGCCCGGCCCCCATTCACGGTGCTCCAGAACCCGGCGTCACGCTTGGTGCTCCGGCTCTGAGCAACGGCACCGTCCCCAGCGCTCCGAACGCTGGTCCTCTGTCCTTCAGTTAACCCGCGGGGCTGCGCCCTCCCTGGGGCCCGGACCCCTTCCCCGTGATCGGGCAGCTCCCCAGGCCAGGCCGGAGGCCCCTCCTTGCCCAGCGCAGCCCAGCTCCGACCCCGCGGCCCTGAGACCCCGGGCTGTGCAGGGAAGCTGTTGCGAGCCGAGGCGGCGCAGGCAGCGTCTACAAACCCGGAGGCTTCAGGGCAGAGGGAAGGAGGCGGCCGACTTGCATGAGGGTGAACGCAGGTTCCCTGGGGCCCGCTGAGCGCCCATGACCAGGCACGGCAGGCGCTGGCCCGGCCCCCGGCGTCTCCCACCTCTGACCCCTTTCCCCTGCCCAGGGTGATGCCTCAGTCCCTGAAGCTGTACAGGAAGGGGACGGGCAGAGGCGTCCCCAGCTTTTCTTGCCTGGATGGCAAATCCGACCTGTGGCATCTTAAAACCAACCTTCTGTAGCCGAGTCCAGGCATGCTGGAGACTCCCCCCTCTCCGCTGCCCTCCCTCCCCTTCCCCAACACCGCGGGAAGCTTTCCGGAGGCGGGAGTTCCTGTGACACCTTCTCCAGGTTCTCTGCACCTTCTTAAGTTAGACGGGCGTCCCAGGTAGTGCGCTGCACCGAGCTCAGTCTCCATCTGCAAACCAGGCTGCGGTTCCATGCAGTGGCCGCCTGGCAGTGACGGCCTCGCTGAGCTGGGTCCCAGACACCCGAGCACTGGAGAAAGGGCCCGGGAACAACCCCCGAGCCACGCTCACAACCACCCGGCGAATCAAAACGATGGGAGGCTGAGTGGGAGGCTCGGTCACAGTGGGGGCTGCTGGCGGCTGTAGACCTGAATGCAGACCTACGCTGGGCCGCTGTGGCCACAGGGCAAACTTTGACCATCACAGACCTTGAAAATGCAAAAGCAAAGAGAGCCCGCAGCCCAAGGCAGCCCACTCAAGAACGCCCACCGTCCTCTGGTGGGCTGTGGCCTGAATGTTCTCATCAGCCCTTTGCTTTCATTGGGGAAATTTTTATCTTTGAGCAATGACACACAGTGGTGATGACGAGTCCTTTTAAAATAATCTGATACTTGCATCCAGTCTCCTAAGTGAGGTGGGGCTCACGAGGTCCTCCAGCGGCTTTGATGCAAGAGGCAAAACTGTCAGGCCAGCACCTAGGGAGCTGGCTGGGGCGAATGCGTCCCAGCACTCCCCACTTGCTCCCGTGTGTGCATCCTGCAAAAGCCTGGCTCACGTTTGTCTGTGTCACTTGTGGGAACTGAGTCCCCTCTGACACAAAGCTGTTGTTAAACTAGACCTTCTCTGGTTTCAGAGAGCCCCGAAGCTTCCCTCTGCCACATTTGGAGCCACCTGAAGGCCCAGCCCAGGCCCCTAGGACAGCTGTGACCTCAGGCAGCAGGAGCGTGGGGCTCTGGCCTCAGTGGCTCTTGCCTTTGGAGTCCCCCGTGACCTTTCCAGGGCCCTCTTCTCTTCTCCTTCCACCCAATCACTTGGACGAGCTTGTCCACCCTGGACGCCAGACCCCGGACCCCGGACCTCCACTGCTCCAGGAGACCCTAGAAAGGCTGCCCTTGGCCCAAGCACCAGGCTCGGCGTGTCAATGCAAACAGACTTTGCCAGGCCCGTGGGACGCTGGCAGGGCTGAGATGGCACCTGAAAGCTGGCATCCGCCTCCCAGGAAGCCACACTTACATGAAGGCAGGGCATCCCTACACCTCCCCTGGGACCAGGAGGGAGCCACTGGTTACCAGGTGTGAGACCTGGGCAGATAAAGCAGGGATTACAACAGTTTTACCTCCTCAGACTGTTGTCACTTAAGTGAGACAGTATGTGTTAAGTGCTTAGCACAAAGCCTAGCTTGTAGTAAGTGCTCAGTAAATGCTTGCTATGATACATCTTTTTTTGGAATGAGGTAAGGGATAGTTGAACATTCAGTAGACGGTGAGGACACACGGATGGCTCTGGAGAAGAATTAATGTAGATTCAGGTAATATGAGGAAGGCTTGAGAAAAGGACCGTATTTAGAAGGGTACGGGCCCAGTGCACAGGGGAACTTCGTGCATGATGAAGGCGGCATCTCCGATCACTGGGGCAGAGATGGACTCTAATAAATGGGACACCTGGGTGGCCCATGTGGAGAAAGATAGAATTCGATTCCTAGTTCACACCATACACAAGAATAAACTCCAGATAGACCAGGGATTTGGGTGCAACCAACAGAGCCAGACAGGCTAGAGGAAAACACGGCGGGTTCCTCTCCAACCCTGGCGTGGAGAAAGGCTTTCTAACTCTGACTCAAACCCAGAGGGGATGAAAGTTTGATGGTTTTGACTGCATTAAAAAAAATTGCATGGCAACAAGAACACCGAAGTCGAAAGACAACCAGCAAACCAGGAGAAACTATCGGGTAACAATGCATGAGGGTGCTTTCCGTGCCCTGGTAAGGAGAGATTTCCAGGATGTAGTGTTAAGTGGGGAAAACCCACCAAAGTGTAAAAGAATGTAATTTGTATTCCATCCTTCATGTAAGAAAAAAGGGGATGTGAGAAAAATCTTGTTTTTGCAGAAGAAACAGAGGAAGGACAGAGGAGAACAGCTGCCCACAGGAAGCGGGTGGGAGCGGGTGGAAGGAAGAGGGAACGGCAGTTCTCCGAGCACACCTGTGAGCGGAGGGCGCTGACCTTCGGCCCCGCAGTGTGCCGTGCGTCTTCTGTGTCAACCTGGCCAGGCCGCAGTGCCCAGCGGTGCAATCACACGCGGGCCCAGGTGTTGCTGTGGGTGTTCCGGAGACGTGGGTGGCATCTATGCTCAGTGACTCTCAGTAAGGAGGTGACCCTGGGTGGTGTGGGGGGGCCCGTCCAGTCAATTGAGAGACCTCACTAGCAACTTAATTTCTTAGCAACTGAGAAATTCTGCAAGAGCGCTGCACCAAATTATCTTGAGGTTTTTTTTTTTTTTTAAACAAAATCCCTAGCAACCCTCCCCATCCTGTTTCCAGCTGTGCCGCCATGTGGCTCTGAGGATGGCAGACGCTCTTTGGCTCCAGTGCCGATTATCGCTATCCGCACCGAGCGCCGTCAGAAACCGTCCGAGGCTTCCGCTTCTGGTAACGTCACGTTGCTGCTTTTAGAGCATGGCTTGTGTCACCGGCTGCCTTCCCCTTGGCCTCGGTGGGCGCATGAGTCCCACCAATCCACACTCACTCAGAAAGCAGGCGGAGGGCGCCTTGCTCCAGGGCCTCCCCCTGCGCTTCCCTGGATCCCAATAAAATGCAGTCTTTAATTTCGACACAAATTACTCAGCTGAGGCAGAAGGCCAATTAGCCTAAAGAACAGGCTGTTCTGATTTTTGACAAGTCCTCCCCCCAGTTTCTAACTCCCGAGTAATTTCTCTGCTTACAAAATGAGACCCTGAAGTCTTAAAGAGGCCTTGAGTATGGCAGGGGAGGAGACCCCGCTGAGGGCACTGCCGGGTCCCCCAGACCACCCCGAGGGCTGGGGTGGAGTGGGGGCTCCTTGGTTAACTGTGTCCTCTCAGGGGCCTGCAGGGAGCACACGGCAGGTGGAGAAGAAAGACGGGGGCAGTGGTCCACCCGCTCCGTGAGAGACATGCCGGGGTCGGGGGCTCTGCGGGGTGACCATAGCGCCCAGCCTCACGGACGCTGCGGGTGGAAGGCCCGGCCATGGGCGTCCCCCACCCCCACCCCAGCCTGCGCCCCGTGGGGAGGGCCGTGAGTTCCAAGCAGAGATGGCCACTCCCACAGGGTCTGCCCAGGTGTGTCCTGGACCCTTGGGAGACACCAAAGCCAGTGTGCTGTGTGTGACCTTTGCTCGACTTTTCCTCTGGGACACCCTCCCCAGCACAGTCCCCAGCGCTCCCCCTCTCGGGGCACAGTCTTTGGAGGTACCAGGACCTGTGCACCTACTGTGTGTCATGCGCTGTGCTGTACACCTGTGCACAGGTCTGTCCGCGCGTTGCCACAGCTGGGAGGTGACAGCCCCCAGCTATGCGCACCCACTGCTGACCCCGCTTCTCACGCACGCGCTGAAGCAGAAACAAGGACTGGACGTGCCACCATCCGATTCCCGCTCCAGCAGGCGGAGGAGCCTGGGCCTGGTGGGGGACAGCCTCAAGCCCGCTGAGGCACACAGCGAGGGAGCCCCGCGGGGTGGGAAGAAAGGCCTCTGCGGGGGCAAGGGCAACGCAACCTAAACATTTGTACCCCCATAATACGCAGAAATAAAAATAAATAAAAAAAAGAAAGAAAGGCCTCTGGCAGGATGGCTGGGCTCAGCTCAAGGTGTCCTCGGTGGGGGGCTGTGGGTGGGTGGGAGGGACGGCCTTGGCCTGACCGTGGGGACCAGGGGAACTGGCAGGGATGTCCCCGAAGGCCAGGCTCTTGTCATGGAGGCGCCCCCCGAGTCAGCGACTCACCTGATGGTCTTGTCCCAGTCGCACCACAGGGTCTCCCCGACAGCCTCCATGTCCACCTTGAACTGGGCGAGGCAGAGCTCCCGGAGGAGGGCGCCGAGGTCGGCCTCCCGGCAGGCGGCGACCAGGGAGAGGAGATGCCCTGCAACAGAGGTGCCAGGACCGTGACCACCAGCCCCCGGGCCCAGCCAGGGGCTCCCACCCCCGAGCCCACCCCAGGAGCACGACCGCGACAGGGTCTCCGAGTGCTCCCTGGAGAGGGTGTCTGCAGCTCCGGCCAGATTCTCTCTTCGTCAATTATTCTGTGTCCCCACAGAGGCCCTCCCTGCCTGCCACAGGCTCCCTGCGTGTGTCCCGTTGTAGGTGACAAGCACCCCTGCCCCGAGATGGCACCGGGCACTGGCTCTTGCACGATCTCCTCATCCCATCAACCCCGATTGGTTTTCCTGACACCTCCACTTCACGGACGTGGAAACCGAGGCGGCAAGAACAACTGGCTAGGACTGAACCCAGGTCTGTGGCCTCCAAGCCCATGGCTGACCTGCCATGCCGCCAGGTGGCCCGGTGAGTGAGGAGTCCCTGGCCGCCGCTGTTCCTGTGGTACCGGGGGGCCAGGCCATCCAGCCCGGGAGCCACTGGCACGTCCCTGTGTCTGAATATTTGCTGGTTATAAACCAAGCTGAGAAACTGAAACACGAGCTGTGTCCACGCTCCCACCTCCACACACACACAGATCAAAAACGGCATGTCAAGCCGTGTGCCGCGTGTGATCAAAATCTGCTCATTTCCCCAAGCTTGCTACTGGCCCGGGGCAGGCGGGACAGCTTCCCCCTTGGTCCCTCCACCCACCTGGCCTCCTCTTTTGCTTTCTCAGCCTCCCTGTGGGGCAGCTGGGGGGGGGGTCTTCTGTTCAGGGTCTGGCTGCTGGCTGCCTGCTGCCCCGGGGCCCCTCTTCCCCCCACAGAGCACTCCAACCCCGCCCCTACCAGCCTGGCCCTTCCTCACTGCTGCAGGGGGCTGGGAGGCTCCCTGGTGGTCCTCACCAGACCAGACGCCGGGGACCCGTGAGTACGGTCACCAAGCTGCCCCTTGCAGCCCTGGGCTCAGGGAGCCCCCAGGGGCGGTGGCAGAGTGCCTCACCCCAGGGAGAGGCAGCCTTGGGCAGGCAGACCGGAAAGGGGGTTCTGGAGTCCCAGTCCCGGAACATGGCCCAGAGAGGGATGTGAACTCAAGTGTCCCCTTGGACTCTGGAGTGAAATGCAGAGGGACCGGGACTCGGGCCTCTCCCATGTGCCGGGCTCTTCACACAGCGGCCTCGCGGGTGCGTCTTATGGCGATCACCAATTCACAGGCGGCGGCGCTGGGGCTCCGGGGTTCGGAAACAGGCCCGGGGGCCACGGTAGGAAGCGGGTGGCGAGAGCTGAACTCAGGCCTTGTCTCCCGAGGCCCAGCGCCCCGCCCGCTCCAGCCGCGAGGCTCAGGACCAGGCGGGCAGCGGGCATCGCGGCAAAGGGCCTGACTGTCCTCGGAGACAGACCAGGGGGGACAGCGGGTGGGGGAGCTGAGCAGGGGTCGCAGGGAGGGGACAGGTGGCGGGGGCAGCGCTGTTCCAGGGCACAGCTCTGGGCTGGCGGCTGGAGGCGGGACGGGCGACCTCACACACCGCAGGCCCACAGCCCCAAGCCGGGCAGGAGAGCAGGGCAGCCGAGGCCTGGACGGGGCAGAGGTGACTCGGGGCTCGCAAGGAGCCAGACGTGTCGCATCAGGGAGAACAGGCGGAGAACGGTTCCCGGTTACAGGTGACAGCCGAGTAGCTGCCTCAGACGAAAGGCAAAGACGGACAGGAGCTCTAGGCATCCACGCAGGGCTGGGTGCCAGCCACGCACAGGGCCACGTGCTAAAGCCGGGACACGGGCAGCGCCCCCTGAAGACAGCCCCATGTGTGCCCTGCCTGGGCACCTCCAGGGGTCCCAGGAGGGGGAGCTGGCAGGGGACCCACCCCTGGCTGGAGCTGGGGCCAGGATGGCACACAGAGGCAAGAGCAGTCCCCCAAGGCACTGGAGGCTCTTGGGAAGGGGCAGGTGGCCCGAGACCACGTGCATCCACTGACTGTGCCCGCCCCCCTCGGGCAGGGTCAGAGACTCAGGGTTGAGGGAAGCTGGAGGCATTTGAGGAGGTATTTTCTGCTACCCTGGCGGGTAAGACGAGAACCCGAGGGGGGCTGCTGAGGGCTTTGTCAGCCCAGCCTGTGCCACGTTCCTTGGCAGGACTTCTGGGAGGACCCGGAGGAGAGACGGGAGCGGGAGGGCTGACTCGTGTGCAGACGACAGCTGTGGGCTTGACCGCACAGGCCAAAGCCGACACTGTGGAATTTCACAGCAATAAAAGTGAAACTCTGTGTTTAATTAAAAAATAAAATCCAAAACACATGCCCCCTCCCCCAGCATATGGAGAAAGAGGTGAGGCTGCAGGTCTGGGGTCTTCCCTGACAGCAGGCTGAGCTGCAGCCATCCTGTGCCCACCTGCCCTGGAGGGCAGCCCCACGGGCACAGACCTGCCCACCAGGTCTGGGCAGCGCTGGGCACTCTGGAAGCTGGGGTCCGACTCAGGGGTCCTGTCTGAGGAGGGACGCCGCAGGAGCATGGCTGGACAATGGTCTGGGCCAGGCCAGAGGACAGTCATTGCCCAGAGTGGAGGGCACCAGGGGCTGGGCAGGAAGAGGACTGGAGGCTGGGTACCCCCCAGGGCTCCTGAGAACAGGGGGGGTTTTAGCCTGAGAAGCTGGGGCGTAATGGTGGGTGGGGATGGGCCAAAGTGAAAGGCTGGCATAGGGGACGAGCTCCTCGGAGGAGCTCCAGAGGAAGGGACCCGCTGTCAGCCCATCCCTCAACACCAGCGAGAGTCCCCACCTCTGGCATTAGCAGCCCCCACTGGAGCGCTCGTCCCTTACCCCCCGGCTGCCCCTGCCACCTGGAAAGCCCAGAGGGCAGAAGAGCTCCCTCCCAGCTCTCCAGGGGCCCTCAGGAGCCTTGGTACCCTCCTGAGTTCACGCCACCTCCCGGCAGCCCACGTGTGTCCCCGCTGTGTCCACACCAGCACACGCGAGTACACCTGGGGCCAGCTGTGGACACACCCTCTACCCTGGGGCTTCCCGTCAGGGCAGGCTTGGGGAAGGGTCTTTTTCCGACACACCCCTAAGAAAGCCCACCTACTGTGGCCAAGTGAGGCACCAGGGGCTCATGGGGGCTCAGGAGGGCTCAGACACGGACTCGTCAGCTCATGGGAGGAATTCTAAGCCTCCGGTCCAGCCTCGGCTGGAAGGCTGTCCCTCTGTCTGTCCCTCACTGCTCCCCACCCAGGACGCCTTCCTCCAGTAAACCCCGGGCCCCAGTCCGACCTGTCCTTCTCCACTGCTGCCTCCTCCAAGAGGCCCCTGGCTGTCGCTACCCACGGGAAGCCCCCCCAGCCTCAGAGCCCACCCTGGGCAGGTAGACGCTTTCTTCTCTCGGAGCCCTTCGTGCCGCCCTCCCCCCCCACTCCTTCCTGACTCTGGCCTGCGTCCTCCCTGGTACCCAGCACCTCTGCTCGTTAATATTTGTCAGTGAACCAAGAAATAAGTGAGGCGGCCATTCCCAGCTGGGTGGACGTTCTGCAGGGGCAGTGTGGCAAGCGGCCGCAGGCTGTCCCTGGGGGCTCCCCTCCTGCTCTGGAAGAGTCACGAAGATGAACGTGCATCTCTGTGCCCAGCCAGCGTTCTCGCTGCATGCAACTGCAGCCAGCTGTGAGCCGTGGAGGACTCCGGGATGAGGACCCTGGTGGCTTCCAAGGCCCCGGGGGGTTGGGGAAGCAAGAGCTGCACAGCCGCCCTGCAGAGCCAGTCCCCAGGGGCCCAGCTGCCTCCTCCGGGGGGGTCTCCAACAGACAAAGGGAGTGGTGGGGGCCAGAAAGAACGACACTGTCCCCTCCGCCGGGCTGGGATGTGCTCCGAGGGGGAAGTCCCCCAGGCCACAATGCTGCCTGTTAAGGCCGCGTCCCTGACACATTCAGGTCAATCTTCTCCTGCTGTCCTCCGGGCTGTGGAGAACAGCCGCCTGCCCCCACACCTGCCGGTCCCGTCTCGCCCAGCCAGCTCTAGCTCCCCCCAGCCGTGTCCCCTGCCGCCCTGGCCTCGCTGCCTTGGCCCGGCCCCCGATGCTGCCTCCCCTGCCTCTCTGAGCCACCTCTGCCTCCCCAGGGCAGGACCTGACGTGCCCAGCCCCACCCATCCCTGCTCTTTCTCTCCTGCCCTGGCGGAGCCCAGAGTCCTATGGCTGGGACAAGGCCAGGGGAGCCGTGCAGAGGAATCTGGAAACCAGGTTCAGTTTCAGATACGGGAGAAGAACAGATAGTTTTTCTTAAGCAAGCCAGATATTTCTTTCATTGGAGAGAGAGGAAACATCGCAGTTTCAAAACTGAATAAAGTTGCCAAAAGTTTTTAAACCAGCCGCTTGGGGCCAGATGGGTTCCATTCCTGTGATGTAAATGTAATCATTCATGACTCGTGTCTTTAAAGAGCTGTGTGCTGAGGCAGCCTTGCTCCCTCAGCGTGTTCAGACAGGAGCCTTCCTTGGAGTTGTGCATAATTTAGGAATTTGCTGGTGCCTGGGGGAGCTCAGAGAAGGGGCTCCTCTCCCTGCAGGAGAGGAAAACAGCCCTGAGATGACCATAAATAGCTGCGGCAGAGGTGGGGGTCTGTTCAGCAAAGGAGGCGGCCAGCCCCCCAGGGGGACCCAGGACACGGCCCACCAGGTATTTGGGTTTTCTAAGGAGACGGGCGCAGAGGAGCTCAGGTAGCAGGTGTCAGATGCAGCAAACGCACTTTATGCTTGTGGCTGGCCTGTGCCTGCCATTGGCAGGGAAGGCTGACCCTACTGTTGTGCATTTTACGTTTGCAGAGAAAATCTCATGCCCTGCCACTGTCCTCCACCGGGTCGGGGTGGGGTGGGGTGGGAAGCTGGGGCCGTCACCCGCCAGAGCAGCCTGCTCACCCTGCACTGTTGGGCCTCCCCTGCTGTGCCAGCCACACCCAGAGCCCGGGAGCAGCTGCCCCCCCACCCCCCGACCAGAGGAGACCTCTCTACCTCTGGAGCAGTGGTTTCTCTA